AGAGCGGTGATGTGTTGGTTGTGAGTTTACAAACAGCGGTGATACATCCATGGGCAGTATACAGAGAGTGGTGATACATCCGTGGTGAGTATACAGAGAGCGGTGATGTGTTGGGTGTGAGTATACAGAGAGCGGTGATGTGTTGGGTTTGAGTATACAGAGAATGGTGATACATCCGTTGTGAGTATACAGAGAGCGATGATATGTTGGGTGTGAGTATACGGAGAGTGGTGATACATCCGTGGTGTGTATACAGAGAGTGGTGATACATCCGTGGTGTGTATACAGAGAGTGGTGATACATCCGTGGGCAGTATACAGAGAATGGTGATGCACCGTGGTGTGTATACAGAGAGTGATGATGATATGTCCGATGTGAGTTACAGAGAGTGGTGATGATATCCGTGGTGTGTATACAGAGAGTGATGATACGCCCGATGTGAGTATACAAAGAGTGGTGATACATCCGTGTGAGTACAGAGAGACAGAGAGCCGTGATGTGTTGGGTGTGAGTATACAGAGAGCGGTGATGTGTTGGGTTTGAGTATACAGAGAATGGTGATACATCCGTTGTGAGTATACAGAGAGCGGTGATGTGCTGGGTGTGAGTATACAGAGAGTGGTGATACATCCGTGGTGTGTATACAGAGAGTGGTGATACATCCGTGGGCAGTATACAGAAAGTGGTGATACATGCGTGGTGTGTATACAGAGAGTGGTGATACATCCGTGGGCAGTATACAGAGAGTGGTGATGTATCGTGGTGTGTATACAGAGAGTGATGATACGCCCGATGTGAGTTACAAAAAGTGATAATGATATGTCCGATGTGAGTACAGAGAGAGTGATGATACATCCGTGATGTGTATACAGAGAGTAGTGATACGCCCGGTGTGAGTATACAGAGAATGGTGATACATCCGTTGTGAGTATACAGAGAACGGTGATGTGCTGGGTGTGAGTATACAGAGAGTGGTGATACATCCGCGGTGTGTATACAGAGAGTGGTGATACATCCGTGGTGTGTATACAGAGAGTGGTGATACATCCGTGGTGAGTATACAGAGAGTAGTGATACGCCCGGTGTGAGTATACAGAGTGGTGAGAAATCCGTGATGTGTATACAGAGAGTAGTGATACGCCCGGTGTGAGTATACAGAGAGCGGTGATACATCCGTGATGTGTATACAGAGAGTAGTGATACGCCCGGTGTGAGTATAAAAGGATTAATAGTATGTCTTGTGTGAGAATAAAGAGACGGGTGATGCTCCCGGTGTGAGTATACATAGAGTAATGATAGGCCCGATGTGAGTTACAAAGAGTGATAATGATATGTCCGATGTGAGTACAGAGAGAGTGATGATACATCCGGTGTGAGTATACAGAGAGTGGTGATACACCCGTTGTGAGTATAGAGTGAATGATGATACGCTCTGTATGAGTATACAGAGAGTGATAATACATCCGTGGTGTCTATACAGAGAGTGGTGATACATCCGTGGGCAGTATACAGAGAGTGGTGATGCACCGTGGTGTGTATACAGAGAGTGATGATACGCCCGATGTGAGTTACAAAGAGTGATAATGATATGTCCGATGTGAGTACAGAGAGTGTGATGATACATCCCTGATGTGTATACAGAGAGTAGTGATACGCCCGGTGTGAGTATACAGAGAGTGGTGATACACCCGGTGTGAGTATACAGAGAGTGATGATGCGGTTGATTTAAATATACAGAGGTTGATGTTGCGCCTTGTTTAAGTATAGAGAGTGTGATGATACGCCCATTGTAGTATATAGATAGTGATGATACTCCCGATGTGAGTATATGGTGAATTGTGATACATTCGATGTAAGATACAGATATTCTGATTACACAGTATATTTGTATGATGATATATAATAGAAGTTCTAATAACACAGCCATTAGAATATTAGTGTGTGACGTTTCGATGCCTACACTGTCACCTTCATCAGACAACTCAACAGTGAAGTGTACGAGATGGTAAGGTGCGATCGAATGTTTCGGCTGGTCTATAATCCAATGTACACTGATTGTGCGACGAGATGGTAGATAGATTATAGACCCAAAACACAAGTTGGCAACAATGTACTGTAATCATATTTGGCTACGTTTTAAGTTTGTGCCCCCTCGACCATGATTAGTACTGAACCGCTGCTGCTTATCCAGATACATTCCTTAACCAGCCGTCTAAAATATTTTTTTTCCTTGTCGGTTACTTTGAAATATTCGCGGTCAATGTCTGTTATTGGCGATTTATTGATTATTTATCATCATTCCACGTGTTTGTGGGAATACCAAGTATAACATATGATCATACATTCTGTGTACGTGTGATGATACCTTCGATTTCCGGAGTTGGATTGTAATTAAAGATGATGTTTAAAAACAGTAAGAATGAAACAATGCTATATTTTGATCATTTTAATAATTTAGAATTTCTTACTGGGGTAAACTAATGAGATTTAAACTCGTCTGTCAACAGACATTAAGAACAGACTACATAAGTCACATTTTGTTACCAGTCGTTCGTTAAGTAAGTCAAAACGACGTTCTACCAGAAGCTGTTCAACTTAAAAAGTCTGACAATTCAAAACAACAAGCCATTTTCTGTTTATATATATATATATATATATATATATATGAGTGCTTACTTGGTAGCGTAGTATATTAGTGGTAACAATGTATTTAGTAACAATTGTATTTTTTTGTACGTTTGTAACAGTGATTTTATTGTCTTTGTCACGACGTGATTATACTGACAATCGTTTTGGCGTCAACGTAAAAGTATTGCTGGAAGTATTGAAAGTCCCTAGTAAATAATTAACTTATAACACATTGCTATATAGTCAGCTGATACTTGGTATGGCAGTAGTTTTAATCAGGAATTCCAACTGTTTCGAACTTAAGCACTCTGTAAGTTTGTATTGTTAAATATTCAAATGGTTACCTTGATTTTTTCCATTCTAAAAATATGTGTTTTCAGAGTTACAAAAACTCATTCTTAATGCATTTTTTGAGGTTTGCTAAATCACAATAGACAATTCCTGATACTTGAATAGGTTTCCATCTTTCATTGAATAGATATTGTCACTGTAAGATGTTTTTGTTATTTAAACTACAAATACGACTTTAATTTGAGTAAATCCAAAATATTCCTAGTGTTTTTTTTATTAATATTGAATACAGCGAAATCCTTGCTCATTAAGTCATGTATAGAATTTATAATTTTCTCGGATGTTGAAACTCATTTTTGTATATTTGACTCAGTCATGAATTACGCCCTTCGACATTGTTTTAACATAGACAGATGGAGTCTAGTGTTAGTGTCAGCAACGTCTCTCCATAGATGGGCGTGGTCTTTTCTCACCAATGAATTGAGACCTAAGAATCACCATCGTATTAACATTGTGTTACGATAACAATACAAATAATTAAGTAGATAAACAGATAAAAGCATCGCATACATAAGGAGATAGATAGGATAACAGAAAAAATATGATTCTATCTGTTATTAGGGGATCGCAATTCCTCATAGAAAGATTACTTTGAAAAACTCTAAAAGCATCAATATCAACGGCTGCTTTATTTACATCTTTTCTAGTATATACTACGTTAATTGACTATTTATGTCGCGACGATGGTAAGATAAGGTTATATCACTAATTTGTATATATGTTCCGACTGTACGTGTTGACAGAAGTAATATATATCTCCTTAACACGGTCAATTTTGTGTTCATATTGTATTGTTGAAGATAACGTTTATTAATCTGTACTGTTTGTCTGATAATGATACGTGTACTGTTTCGTATTACCATATATTATAATACATATAGATTACTTCAATAAAATACTATGAATTTTTTTTTTGTCTTCCAGTGTTTTTTGCACACTGATTCAAATCTATGGTTTACCTCTCCGATATGAAATCGTCGTGTGAGAAACGAGAATAGGGTCGTTGTGTTAATGCCCTGGAGTCCTAGTTTAAACTTTTACATAATATTTCATATAAGAAGTTGTATACATCGGTTTAACACTCCGTCTGATACATCTAGGTGTTGTCAAACATACAAATAGTCTCATAAAGAGTTTTTTTTTTACATCTATCAATGATTTCTGTAGAAAAAATTACCTTACTTATTGTAACCGGCGTAAATTTACTCTATTTATCTCTCAGGTGCACTTACTGGAACCTATAATACTGACATCAGTGAGGTTCTCTCCCATTTATCGATCGAGTATTGAATAGTTTGATTTCAGATAATGCTAGTTGTCTCCCCTACACCGAGAAGTCGCTCAAGCGTTGGTTGTATTTTCAAATTCCTATAGAAACTGTTATAATATTACACTATTACCACATACTACTACTTTATAATGGTTCATATTATATAATATATTTAATATAAATAAACCAATTATTGTATATATATAACAACGATTCTTTATCATGTCACAATCATCCACTGTTTAATCGCATTGCAGGCTGTGGTCACAGAGCTAGTGATATTGCAGGTTTTGGTCACTGAGCTAGTGACATTGCAGGTTTTGGTCAGTGGGATAGTGACATTGCAGGCTTTGGTCACAGAGCTAGTGAAATTGCAGACTTTGGTCACAGACCTAGTGATATTGCAGACTTTGGTCACAGAGCTAGTGACATTGCAGACTTTGGAGACTTTGGTCACAGAACTAGTGACATTGCAGGCCTTGGTCACAGACCTAGTGACATTGCAGGCTTTGGTCACTGAGATAGTGATATTGCAGGCTTTGGTCACTGAGCAAGTGACATTGCAGGCTTTTGTCACTGGGATAGTGACACTGCAGGCTTTAGTCACTGAACCAGCGAAATTTCAAGCTTTGATCAATGAACTAGCGACATTGAAGGCATTGATCAATGAGCTAGCGATTAAGCAGGGTTAAAGCACTGGGTTAGTGACAACAACTTTTAAGAATATTCCAACCGAGAAAAAAAACAATAGTTGTGTTATCAACAAAATTTTATTACGCAAATAAATTCCAACCTTCGCAACAGAAACTTTAATATGGACAAATTAACGTAAGCTCTATATCGATACAAATACTATTGCTATGCAATTGATACGTACTGAAGTGAGTGAAGGCGTGTTTCTCATACCTAGAATCAGTGTAAACCATATTGACAAGCTTTCATTGTCCATGCAGTTGTATACAAGTACACATATTGGCAGTATTAGAGTAAAACTCAATAAGATCTTTTCAAAGAGATTATGTCAGGGACATATATCATTTCTGGTGTCTCAGGATAGGTAAGTAAGATATCGTTTTAGAATAAATTAACTGAATGAGGATAATAGATTAACATAGTTCTTAGTGATATTGATAAAACAAAACCTAGTCAACTGCCATGTTCACATAATGTACAGTAAACCGTACTCCTCACACCAAAACCTATCTGGTCACATTTGGAGCAGCGTCGCTTGATAAAACTTTCTTTAACATATCTTGGCATATTCGTTTTAAACTGTTATAATTGTATTCAAAGACGACTTTTTAAATTAAAAAAGAAATGGCTGGAATGAAATTGGATCCAAGGCTCAAAATAGTAATTTTCTCCTTGTTAAGAATTAACATCTAAACATTTAAAAATAAAAGAAAAATTAAATGACCGTCGAATGTCTAGACGATAAGGTAAACATGTACATACTGAAATACATAAAAAAAACAGCTTTAAATATTCACAGTCAAAATAGGTCTTTAAATTGAGTTATTAGTTCTGTGTTATTTCGCTAATCAGTAAATGTTTTAAATTTTTGATATCAGTACGGTGTAGATAATTAAGTGCAGTCCCTACGTTTTCGAAAACACTTCAGATTGCCTTCCGATAGTTTTATCATCACGGGAATTGTTGTGTATCAGCTGACGTCAACTTGATTTTACTGTAACATGAACGAACATCTAATATGGTAGAGTTACAATTTGGTTGCGATCTTAAACTTAAACATATTCTTCTGTAGGGAAAGGAAAGGTTAGAATTGAAATAAGAATTAATAAACAATTTTTTTCCGTTACAAAAACACATGTCGATGAGAATATATATATATGTACCACATATAAACACAACAAAATAAATTAAATTACAATCACGTTAGCACTTTGTTAACAAAGAAAAAGCATAACAGCTAATACAAAGGTCACGTTTCTATGGCAGGCTGTCTGTGTGCATCGGTTCATATATACCAATCAGTGAATATTTCTGTTATCTCCTTGAAATATGTTTGCTCCATTTAAGGAAACCGCGTTTTTAACACAACACGGACCAATTGAAACGGGAAATAAATTCGAAGTGATACCATTACCGAAAATTGAGTTATTTCCCTTGTATAAAGTTTCTACAACATGCCTAACTACGGTACATTGTATATATTATCAAAACAATCTTCAAAGAAGCTATCCACATGTAAGTTTATAAAATGATTAAGGATTGGTTTAGAAGATATCAAAGTAGCCAAGTTTTTCTTTGTTGCTTCTTTTCATTCCTAAGAACGTCACTTCATACGCAGCACATTTATGACCGTTTAATGAAAAATCATACAGATCATAACGGTACAAGTAATCTTTTCCAAAGTAACTTTCCAAGAAAATTTAACAACTGCATTGCACACGACCACGTCCTCTAAGTGAAGTTACTTTGTACGAATTCTAGCGCGAAGACAGCGCCGTCTTGCGGCCTCCATTACGTCACGAGGTACCGACCGAACATAGTTCCTCCGCTCTGGGGAAGGGCTTCTAGGACGATTCGGAGTACATGGGGCATCAAGAATAAGTCCCCTTCTGTTTGAATATTTGTGTTCCGCTGGAGGAAGCGGAAGTTGCTGGTTTAGTGGCGGTTCACTTCGCGGTGTAATGATATGAATTCTAGGAATTTTCAAACCTAATTCGCCATTGGAAATGTCTCTTTCTTCACCATCCTGAGATATATCGGATTCATTTGTTTCTCTATTTTCCTTACCCGGCGACATTTTATACCTTATCATAGAACTGTCCATTGATAAATCGATGACGCCGTCATAAGAGTCTGGCGAGGCATTCGCCTCCGATCTCGGCCTCTTACTCAGATCCAACGATCCGTCAAGTCGTGGTGTCAAAGGTCGCTTCCGCGTTGATAAGTCATGCGCTGACGAATGGATGTCGGATAGGTCTGGACAAGAGGTAACACTACTTGCCCTCTCTGAATATGACACACAGTGAAGCGATGTTTTATCGTGTTTCTTTACAATCTCTGAATCACTAGAGTCACTTAATTCAACTTTTATTCTGTGGTTTCTTTCGGGTTCGCCAACATGCTTATCAATTTGTTTCCGCTGGGAAACAGATTCGTGTTTCATTTCAGTTTTCTTTTGTTCTTGTTTTTTATTATACACTTCCATGATTTGCTCCATCTTTAATGGCAGAGGTAATGGCACCGGGAAGGGAACGGGTAGGGGGAAAGGAACTGGCATGATCATAGTCACTGGAGGCATGCCACCAAGGTATTGAGATCCATGTCTATACCCTGCCCCTACTAAACTTGGATCAAACCCTAGCACCGATGGGGTATGTCCGGTGTTTGCCATTCCGGTCAATAAAGATGTCACGCCTGGTACTGGTACTTTCTGGGAACACTTCGTACCACCAACTGTTGCTGAAGTGCTACTTTGTTTTGCTGCAGTTAAATTCGTGTTAGGTGTTGCTGACGGTGATGACGAGTCTGGAGACAGAGCCGGTCTATTTGGTGTTGGTGTAGACATCCGACTGTTTGGTGGACGGAGCACACCGTCCGTGTTGGGAATTTGTCCTCCTGGTATAACCCCAGGTATTGGAGGCATATACCCACCGTAAAACCAAGGAGGGATTGGACCCATAGGAGGCATTCCAGGTCCGAACGCACCCCACAAGTGCGGCGGAATTATAGGCATAGATGGGTATCCAGCAGCGTTCGCGAACATAGGATTAGGCTGTGCCGACGATGTAGCCGTAGGTGATGGGTCCGACGACGCGAGTTGTGGACTTGCGAGACCAGCCGAGTCCTTAGAGGACGATCGCCGGTGGCGTTCGCGAACCAGCCGATCCATTACACTCCTAGATCTGTCTATCTCACTATGAGAATGTGACTTGTGTAGGTCACTCTTCCATTCAGACTTTGACGAATGTTTTCTGGTCTTTTCTCTCTCCTCACGATGGCTGTCTCTGTGTGCCACTTTTTCCTTGTGACTATGACCCTCCCGATGACTTTCCTTGTGACTCCCTCTGTTATTGTAGCTTTCCTTGTGGTTATCTCTGTCAGATGCCGTCTCCGTCGATTTGTTCTCACTTTTCTCCTCTGTCAGAGACGAATCCTTCATCCACAGATCTGGTGTTATTAGAATTTGTCTGTCCGGACTTTTAGATGACGAAACATTGTCATTAGGAGTCTGAATTTGTTGTAAATGTTCTTGCGTTTCCTTACAAAATATTTTCATCTTATATTGGTTTAAACACTTAGCACTGCAAAACTGAAGCTGTTGTTCGCCATCTTGAAAGTCTACGTAGTTTACAGTATGACGAACATGCTTGCACCAATCACAAACTCTGTTCTTTTTGAAAGATGCACGTCGACACTGAGTGAAGCAAACCTCGCTACAGAAGGCTTTCGTTGTGGTGGAAGTCTTCAATGTAAAAAGCTTGATTCCAGGTTTCTGACACCACGCACATGTAATGTAGCCACTTGGCAAGGTTCCGTCTGGAGCACCTGTTAATGGAAAAATGTCAACCACTTAAATCCACTGTGACATACATATGTTGCATAGGTAATTAGTGGCAGACACTGAACATGTCCAGAACATTGCATAAAGTACAAAGACCAGTGTTATGTGCCCACACAATGTATAAATTTAAACAGATAGCGTGTTTAGCCGTCAATAAAAGCTTGAGAAAGGTGATAGTTGTTTTTTTTCGGTGACATACATTTTTGTATAGAGACGATACAAATAAATATTAATCGATTTCCCTACCTACGCATGACGTCATCAAACTAGATACTGTTGCACGATGGCGAATTGCCTCTATAAAAAGGTATTCAAATGCACATTGTATAGAATTCCATCGGTAATTCTCTGGTGAGATATCGTATTTAATGTCGACGGCTAACAAGAGAGCCTGTTTGAAATATGAGCTAATTTCATATTGAATTTAATAGCGTTTTAATGGATTGTATTTCCGTGCACAGATATGAATTATTACCACTATCAACAATAGAATGTCTTTTCACCAGAACAAAAAACCAGAAATAAATTTGAATTACATTTAGTTTATCATTGTTCCAAATGATGACTTCCTAATAGGAATGATTATAGTGCTCTATGGTATCGAGAATAGTGCTGACGATTACAAACTACAGTTTACTGGTCGTACTTCAAAAAGTTTCATGTAGTCCTAGATCCATTTGATTAAGAAGTCCATGCAATTTGAGAAAATAAAGGAATATTTTGAACATAGAGTGAAATATAGACCTTGTCGTGGCGTGTAGTTTGATTTACCGTCTGTACTGCTACATATAAAACATTGTCTTGTTAAGTATTTGTTTCTTGTTATTAAGTAAAACGAATACCTTTGTATAAAGTCACAAAAATATCATATTTTGAAAAAGAATACAAATTATTATTTACTTGAAAGGCCAAACAACAGCGATCTATTATGGTTTGTGTAACGGATACGTATTATATGCCTTTCTGGCCCGGAGGGAACTAGGAACAATCAACGTGGGATTCGATTACCGATCTCGGTGAAAATCTAACAAGCACTCTGATAGTTAAGCCCGACCCTGACGCTAATGTCCTCGTGTAACGCTAGTTCTATAGATGTTTACGTACACGGCTGGATTCTTAGGACAGCCAGACTGAACTTAAAAGGAGACAATAGTTAAACAATACCAGGCGTATCTGTTCCATTTAATTGCGGTATGAAACTTCTTCCCGTTTTCATGTCCTGAATATCTAGGGGATATCATTGTCGCGCGTGGTTCGATCCCCGACACTCAATACTCGACACGGTAAAGGGCCAGATGCACGTTCTTTCTCTCGAAAATACGAAATAGTGACACCCTACACTCTGTATCGATTGGGTGGATTCGAAATTGCTAGATTTGATTTAAATCGGGTGCCTTTTGAAGGATTAGCTTGCAGGGATACAATTTCAGCAGACCATCAGAAGTAACTGTGGGTCTGTCCGCTGAAGAGGAGACTCGTATCATGTTTCCTTGTTTCTCTGTAATGAGATGGTATTGTTATACACTTTTACCTCTCTCGGCTCGTTACCCTAGATCAGACATCGTTATCGGAATACTGAAGATAGAATATTGTTTAAAAACAAGAACGGATATAACTTCTTAATATCACATAACTGATTTACGGCCCTTAATGGTTTTTTAAAAACACATTTCAATAAATATCGAGAAAAAATGGTAAACGTGCTTGAATTGATGTCACATAACCACGTAAATATTTCTGCTAGATGCAGACATTCATTATTGTGTTACAATATAAAATCGAATTTCGCAATGAAGAAGAATTGAATTATACAAAAATGATCGCTACCTGCCCACGTTTTTCGCTGATTGCTTGTCTAGATCTATTGTTCGGTATGACAGTCATGCCTGATAAACGCACAATACAATCAGTGATATCAACAAGGGGAGATAAATCATGCTTTAGCAAGCTTAAGCGAGGTTTCTGGTGCGCATCCCATTTGCAACATCACCAACAACGATCTCATTTGGTAGTTGTATATATGTCTAAAGTATGACGTCATTATAAATAGATTTGCATGGTGATCAAGATGACACGGTGACCGTATGAAAAGTGATGTTCATGATATATGTAGCCGATGAGACCAAATACAATTACATTATCAACACATATCTATATATATCGTTGAATGTACCTTCAATTAATGCCGAAATTCTCAATGATGAAATGCCTGACACAGAAAACTGAGGTATAGTACACATCCTGTAAATGGTTCTGATCAATAGCCGATTTCATTATTTTGTCAAAATGTTTCAATATCATGTCAAAATTATAGAGATTTACATCCATACAGTAATATACAGAAAACAAGGCGTATACCTAGCATCCTCTATTACCTACTGTTGACATAGAGACTAAGAACCAGAATTATTACCTGTCAGGCCGTGCTTCTTCGTAAGAGCTGAAACCAGATTCCGATGTTGGGCAGCTAGACTGGACTCGCTGTTACTTCTGCCTACAACGACAAAACCAAAAACAAAAATAGATAAATAGGAAAAGATATCTTGGTCAATTACTGAACGTTTAAACTGACTGACGAATGCAAGCCAGTCAATGGGTCGTTATCGAGGACAATATCAAAGTATACTGACATATATAATTGTTGTGACACGAAAATTATTTTTAGAAACATTATTTTCGTAAAATTACCCGGAAAATACAGTAAGTATATACAATTACGTGTCATAAACAACTCAAATTATCCCAAGTCGTGAAATATCAATACCTTAACCACTTACCCACTAAACAATCGTTATAAACAAATCATTGAAAATATACCGGAGTAGTAAATGTTGTCATGTTATAGCCGTAATGGATACTTGCAGACTGATCAGTTTGAAATGTAGCAAATTACCGGGTGGTTGTCGGGACACCTGTCATGGAGGATAACCATCTGATTGCCCAAATCGATAATTTTGGGGCGACAAGCCCTTATGCTATTGAAAGGACCGGTAATCACATGGTATCTGTCATCTATTAGGGACGTATACACTGATTCATAAAGTGCACAAGATGTTTAGAAAATTTTTAGTCTTAATGAGTAAACACAACTACTGTTTACCATTTTTTTTTTATATTTTTCCAGATAATTTCGCGGCGATATATTTTCACGAATCTTACAGACTTTGATTGAAGTTTTATAGTAATTAACTGTTTGCAGTGATTTGTTTTCTCGTCTGCGATTGTTTCAGAAGTTCCATATTATGTCAATCGTTTGCAATATTGGAATTCTATATCTATCTTTCTTTGTTTGGTAGAAACTCATATGTTTCTGTATTGGGACAATTTGTCTTTGTATCATGCGACAGTTTTAATAAACTGTGTGTGTTAACAGGTTACTCAGTATGCATGAGGGTTAAATAAAGTGTTGAAAAGGATTATAGAACATTTCAGCTGTACCGAAGAAAGCATGAAAACTATAAAACAGCGTATCAAAATACGTGAATAAAGGAATTGTAAATAAGTAAGTTAGTGACGAACAATCATGGCCACCAAAGTTGGCGAGAGGTGTATATATCCACTTTCTAGGGTTTTTTTTTATACAGACCTCACATGCGAGTTAACTCCTTAAAAGATCTTGAAAGCCTCTGACAATTATTCACGATACTTATGTTTTGTAAATTTATACCCGCCTTATGTCAACTTTTTCGGGGTCTTGACTTTCATTCGAGAATGTTATCGGGTTGGTGACAAAGTTTGCAGCACATATTCATGACTCATAGAAAAGTTTCGGCTCTTTGCCTTTAACTCTCCGACTGGTATGTAAGTCTAGTTAAATCCGGCCGCTCTCTCTTTGTTAACTATAGGACTCTTTTGTGAAGCGAAGTTTCAATTCAAAAGGAAAGAGCTATCAGATTTAACGACTAATTCACACCTGTCCTTCAGTCTAATTGATAGTCTGGAGTCCAGGTGAGCTCAGAAAAACGTTACAAGAGGTGTGCATTACAAATTAGTCTCCGATTTTAACGTTAATCGGGGAGATTGATATCCCTCTCGGGTAAATTTTATAATTACCAACTAATTCTAGCTACCTCTCAGTTGACGCGGACAGACACTCAGGATTTGTGTGAACGTAAGTGCGAGAAATGAAGACATGTCGGTGCAATCATCTCCTCTTCCATTTCGGGGGCTGGGGCATCATGATAATACGGCATGGGTAATTAGGACGAAACGAAACCCTTACAGAGTCTAGACATGTGCTCAAATTACTCCAAATAAACTTACAAAAGTCTCCTATTTCAGCTTTCTAACCAAAGAAAGCTATAAATTACTCGGTAGGACGACAATTCTAGTCAGTCGCTCAGCACCTCGCTCGTCAGATGATCCCCATTCGTGGGATAATTTTCCTCCCCTTATCTCCCTTGCTATAAGATTAAATACTATGAGAGCATTACGATTGCTCCGAGTGGCTAGTAGGTCCTATTTGACTTTCAATATTGTCATTATGTAAAAAAAAATAATAGGAAAACTTCATAGAATCGAATATAAATTAACAAGAGATTGCTATGTTTCAAACTTCATTACCGTGATAACGATATTCATTTAGCGACAAGAAATCTGTAACCATCGAACAAAACAGGTGACATTATGTAATGATTAATATGTCTGGTCAGGTAAACATGAGACGGATACATATCCGTTACAGAAATCCATGTGTTCTTACGTCAAATGTACAGAAAACCATGTGCTCTCAAGTCAAATGTTTCGGTGAAATATTCTAAAAAAAATCTCGAAAATGCAGCGTTTTGTTGTCAACATGAAATCCACTGATACATACGCTACCCCTGATATCATAGATGTATCTGTCGTGAAAACTCTTATAGGTGTCTGTTGATCCAGTGCTAATACAATATCGTTATAAAAATAATATTGTTTCTGTCATGTCTGTGTTACATACACTGTATACATACGTGACTTTTGTATAATGTGTAATCAACGGGTTTGTTTTTTGTACTTGTTTTAATAAGATTGCGAACCTTGAATGAAAATGACAAGCAGATTGAATAAGATAATCATTGTATATGTAACATCTGAAGCTTATGTTAGATGTTATTCCTCGAGACAGAACCCGGTAGTCTAAGGTAACCACTGTACACATGTTATATGGTGCTACTCAGACAGAACCCGACAGTCTAGGGTAACCACTGTATACATGTTACATGGTGCTACTCAGACAAAACCCGGTAGTCTAGGGTAACCACTGTACACATGTTACATGGTGTTACTCAGACAACTCGGTAGTCTATCATAACCACTGTACACATGTTATATGGTGCTACTCAGACAGAACCCGACAGTCTAGATGTAACCACTGTACACATGTTATATGGTGCTACTCAGACAGAACCCGATAGTCTAGGGTAACCACTGTATACATGTTATATGGTGCTACTCAGACAGAACCCGATAGTCTAGATGTAACCACTGTATACATGTTATATGGTGCTACTCAGACAGAACCCGACAGTCTAGTGTAACCACTGTACACATGTTATATGGTGTTACTCAGACAGAACCCGACAGTCTAGGGTAACCACTGTATACATGTTATATGGTGCTACTCAGACAGAACCCGGTAGTCTAAGGTAACCACTGTATACATGTTATATGGTGCTACTCAGACAGAACCCGACAGTCTAGATGTAACCACTGTATACATGTTATATGGTGCTACTCAGACAGAACCCGACAGTCTAGTGTAACCACTGTACACATGTTATATGGTGTTACTCAGACAGAACCCGACAGTCTAGGGTAACCACTGTATACATGTTATATGGTGCTACTCAGACAGAACCCGACAGTCTAGTGTAACCACTGTACACATGTTATATGGTGCTACTCAGACAGAACCCGACAGTCTAAGGTAACTACTGTAAACAAGATATATGGTGCGACTCAGACAGAACTCGACAGTATATGGTAACCATAGTACACATATTATATGGTGCTACTCAGACAGAACTCGACAGTCTAGGGTAACCACTGTACACATGTTACATGGTGCTACTCAGACAGAAGTCGGCGGGCGATGGTAACCACTGTGCACATGTTATATTGTGCTACTCAGACAGAACCCGACAGTCTACGGTAACCACTGTACACATGTTACATGGTGCTACTCAGACAGAAGTCGGCGGGCGATGGTAACCACTGTACACATATTATATGGTGCTACTCAGACAGAAGACGATAGTCTAGATGTAACCACTGTACACATGTTACATAGTGCTACTCAGACAGAACCCGACAGTCTAGGGTAACCACTGTACACATGTTATATGGTGCTACTCAGACAGAACCCGACAGTCTAGGGTAACCACTGTACACATGTTATATGGTGCTACTCAGACAGAACTCGACAGTATATGGTAACCACTGTAAACAAGATATATGGTGTTACTCAGACAGAACCCGACAGTCTAGGGTAACCATTGTACACATGTTATATGGTGTTACTCAGACAGAACCCGACAGTCTAGGGTAACCACTGTACACATGTTATATGGTGCTACTCAGACAGAACCCGACAGTCTATCATAACCACTGTACACATGTTATATGGTGCTACTCAGACAGAACCCGACAGTGTAGGGTAACCACTGTACACATGTTATATGATGTTTCTCAGACAGAACCCGACAGTCTAGGGTAACCACTGTACACATGTTATATGGTGCTACTCAAGACAGAAGGCGGCAGGCGAGGGTAACGCTTGTAGACTTGTTAGTCGGTGCTCCCTAAGACGAGCAAGGACACCAAAGCAAAATTTAGATAGTGTTAAATTAGATAACAGAGTGGAGTTATAATCACCACAATTGCTGTGTTTGGTTTTGTATGGTTCTACGCAGATCGTATAACCACACAGTCTTGCCAGTGTAGGCTAGTATTAGTAAATAGTATTATGTCCGAACATTAACAGAAAACTCAGTTCAGCTTATAAAAATTGACAAATTGAGAAGACTTCTGACAGGCGTCATTTCGCATGAATGGGTAAAAGATTTCAACTTCAACAGACAAGTATATTTACGTAAAACAACCGAACATTTATCCGGCAAATTTTGTTATAAAGTGTCTGTTTCATCCCATAGGCTCGATTTCAATTCATCATTGTGCAGTCTATAAAAGATTCATTGAAGGCAAACACTGACGGACAATGCGAGCGACCTTCTATTCTTATCTGTGGTATTTATTCTGAAACAGTATTTAGCAGTGGAAGAATATAGGTAACCTTTCATAGAGATCTTTGATTCATGTATCCAATCTAATGTAAAACAATATGATACACTCAGTATCTAGATGTAACACGTGCGTTAGTATTCTTGTAGATCAAGAGGGAGTATGTGTGTCATCAGCCCGTCTGTCACGTGATATGCTATCCTGCTCGTTGTCCTCTCCTTATTTCCTTCTCTGATTACGTCCTGATTAGTAACAATCAAATGAATAGGTCATTTG